TTGGGTATAAAAATATCACTAGAAAGGAGGATTTATAAGAAAGTACTGAAACATCACAGTCCTTTGGTTAAGAATTGAGGAGGGGATGGAAAATAAGTATTTTTTTAAAATATTATTGTGTAATTTTAAAGGCCACAGCTATAAAAAGAAAATATTAGTGTGGACTTAAATATAACTGTTGACTTTCATGTTATGGAAACACTTGTTGAAAAGGTGTCAGTGCCCAAGTGATCTTTTCTAATCAAATCTGACTTTTGTTTTGAAAACATTTTTTTTCCAACATATTTCAGTTTGCCCTTAGTTTTCTCTCTGACTTATTTTGGAAAAAAAAGTTTTCTTAACCTCAAGATTAGAAAACGATTTGGTTCTATCTTTGTTCAATTACTTGCAAGAAAACTCCTGTTCCACAGTATAAAACGAGTCATTGTGCAACTTCACACCAGTGTTTTGATACCTTCATTGCAGTCCCATTTCAGTTTGACTGGGAAAGAATACCAAAATTTGTTGCTTTTTATGTCAGGTTTTGAGGCTAACAGGAAGACATGCAACAAAATCATTTATTTATCCTGAAAAACAGTTCCCTTTTATAAGTCAGTCACTGAATGCTTCTGGGCTTTTCCGTTAGGATTAAACATGACTTATAATGAAATCTAAACCCATTTAACAGTTCATCAGAGGAAGTATAGGGTTCAGATTTCTTGGGGGGCAGGCAGAGACATTACTGTTCATAATGCTTGTGATTGGTGTCTCTGGTTTCCTCCTGTTTAACACAGCCCTGGTAATGCCACCGTGAGCAGCCGAGTGCAAAGTCAAATAAGTAAAAGCCATACGTACCAGTCAAAGAAATATCAGGGGCTGCCACAGTTGGGCTGTGTCTGTTGAAGTATTTCATCAGTACAGCATGCTTAATTCGTTTGGGTTTTGTTTTGAAAGGTGTCACACCGGGAGCAAATTAGTATGGGTAAGCCAGAAGCAGAGAGCTGTGTTTTGGGGAAGCAGACAGCACCCTGGTGCTTCGGCTCTGCTGCCTCCTTCAGCCCAGTGCAGGGTCTCAGTGGTAGCACAGCTCGTTTCCACTTAGCCACGTCCACATGGGAGGGATTAAACCGCAGATATAGAAAAGCAGCTCCTCTCCAATGCAGCAGAAAAGGGAGGACAGACTAGTTCTTTGGGTCAGTGTACTGTAACTAACAGGCTGCGTGTTCCTGTTAGGACAGAGCGGGTCAGGGAGCTTGTTTGTGCCAGGAGACGTGTGAAGGGAGCAGCGTGCAATTGCATTAGTGGCTGAAGTGTTTATTCTGATTTTATAGGGGCTGGGCTCCAAGGAAGACGTTTTCGGGATTGTCTGAATAAAAATAGGTATTAAATGGCTAGGTGTGGTTCAACTTGAAGTGAGAGCAAACCCAAGGCACAGGGACACCCTATTTGTTCCAGTCCATGCAGGGATAGATAGCATTATAGCAGCCCATTAGTATGAAAAAAAGCACTGAAATTCTACAGTGTTAGAGATTTGTGCAATGAGGAAAAATGTCCAATATTAAGGGGTGTACATATTTGTCAGGTGTTTTAGTGTGTCAAACCTAAGTCAAACTGTTGGCTAAGAGAAAAAAACCTCTATCTGGGTTTGCACCCAGGATAAACTATGGGGACTTTGAACTTGTCTGTGCCTTGTGTCAGAGAAGGAAAGCTTCCCCATTAGTGCTTCAGCTGCGTTTGTACTTTGGACAATGAAGGTACCAAGGCAATTATCAAAGAACAGGCAATATACTCTAAAGTTAAAATTCCTTTGCCCTTTCTTTTTGAATTTTTTTTTTCCCCTGCTGACAATCTCAGAATGTATCAAATTCAAACAGAGAAAGAGGGGGAGAGAGGGGCCTGCTAAGTACAAGGCTGTCATAACTTGTAACAAGATTATAATATGCAGAAGTGTTACTTACCATATCCTGCAATATTCATTGCCACTGCTAGGAGATCAGTGTAAGACAGATAAAAGTAAATACATTTTTGCATAGCAGGTAGGGAACTTCCAGAATTCATTGCTACGGGAGGCTGGGTTGATGGACATTATAAGCAGATTCCAAAAGATATTAGTGACATTCATAGGCAACAGGTCTAAATATCAAGTAGGTACAAAAGAGAACAAGAGATGTGCCCTCCAGCATCCCTGACAGAATGATTGTAGGTGCTGGCAGAGTGCAGGAGGAACAGACCACAGAAAAGGGACGTACTCATGTGCTTCCCTTAAACAGCCATCCCCTTGTCGCTGACCACAGCAGCACGATGGCCTGGGTGCATGAGCATGTCTCATGTTCTTAGCTCACTCCTGCCTAACTAGTGAATTGTTTAGACCAGAGTGTCTCAAAGCTTCCAAGCAGCACAGGCAAAATTTAATTCTGCGGTTGTGACAGAACTGCTGCTTTAGGCACCATCGTGCCCGAGAGCTGTGCCCGGTGACCAGGATGTGTTGACTATGGGCCTGCTGCCCAGGAATTGTTCTGCTGCTGCCACCAATACAGCACAGGATGGCTTAATATTAACTGTTAATTAGCAGCTTCCCCAACATCCACAGTATGCAGATCTACCTCTCCCTAAGCCGTGATTTTTCTGCCGCACATCATTTTGCAACCACAGCTAAGCGCTCTGTGTAAGACTACAGCTGGGATATTACAATGTGACAGAGCCCCTGAATAATTTATATCTAAGTCTCCATTTCATACTTATTTGTTATCCTATGGGTCTTCCCCTAGGATATGCCATCTAGTTTCAATTTAAAACATAAGTTCCATAAATTACCACTGCACAGAAGTTGCTTTAACACGCCATTTGTGCAGGTAATGGTGCACATTGCAGCAGGAGTGTTTCAGAGTCTCCACTCCTGGGATTGCAGATTCACAGTGAGCTGGTAAAGGGGAAACAATGAGGACAATGAGGAGTTTGCTAGAAAATTGAACAAATCCGCCTTAACACATCAAAGCAAATCACACCCTGATGCTGGGAACTCTGCAGGGCAATGTTTCTGCAGCAGCGTGGACATCGAGAGACTCTGCTCGCACTAAGCAGAGAGGAGGTGTGTGTGTTGTTTGTCATGGGCATTTAGATACCAGTTCATGGAAGTGCACTTAGCAGGAGTATTATGACATATTTATGGTGAGGTATAAATAAGGCCCATTACACCAACTGTTCTTAATCCTTGCTTTATTCTCTGGGTATATGATTTTCCGAAAAAAATTGTAACTTAAGAGAACAGCCAGTCTAAGTTCAATGATGTTTTAGCAGGGTGTCAAACAAATATCACTAAAACATGTATAAATCTGTTATGTTTCAAGATAAATGTTTCAGATGTTCACAGGGTATTCTGAGTTGGAAGGGACCCACAGTATTTTTATTTTAAAGAGTTGAATGAATTATATAGCGGTAAGTGCATTTCAGAAAAATTCCCTGTTTTCATGTCTTGCCTAATTTAAAATAAAATCATGTCATTGAAATCATTAGGGCTATTTTTCTGTGCATGAGGCTACATTTTGGCAAAATGTTTCTCCTTAAATATTTAGGTTTAATTCTTATTCTTAACACTTATTAAGTTTAATAGGCTTTGAACACCTGCTTCAAATTAATGAAATGAGCTATTTCTTGAGTAAGACTAGTGACCATTTTGGCAACTGCTAATTTTATAACACTGTATCATATTTTGTTTTATTACTTAGTCATACAACTGCATATTTCGATAGGATAATATAATGTAATGCTCTCCTATCAAATATATGTGCCAATCTAGAACAGCTTTGGACTGAAATCACTTAAATAGTGTACCCAAAAGAGATTGATATTTGGGTTACAGTGTACAAACCTACCAGCTACAAGTAAGGTATCAGTGAGCCCCCAGGCTGTAATATATCTTGCTTGAGTGATCAGTATCTAAGGGCCTGAGATGCTCTGCTTGTGACACAGACAGGATTCAAGAAGCCAACCTTTCACTCCCAGTCACGAGTCTGCATTTTTGGTGATTTGCCTCATATAAATTTGAAAGTATATCTTGTTATGTGTGAGTGAAGACTGCATAGCAGTAATAAACACATCCTGCTGTCTGTTAGGCAAATCTGAACTGGGGAGCTTCTTGAGAGTCCTTAGGAAAGAGTTAGGTATCACTTGCCAGTGGGAAGGTGTGAATCTGGGAATATGTGAATCTGCAGGATGGTCAGTTCCCTTCTCTGTGGTGCCCTTAACTTGCCTAGGGGGTTATCACTGCTTTTGGCCTGGTTGATGCAAGTGCACGAGGCACAAGAGGAAAAGTTTCGCAAAAGAAGGAAATCCAGGATTTTAAGTTAAATCTTACCTTGCTTGTGATAACGTGTAACAGGCAATTGTTTGAGGGAAGGATGCAGAAAGGGCGGGAAAAGGGATGGTCTGTGACACAATGCAGCAACCCAAACAAATTTAGATTGTGTGTAAGATGTGCTGCTTTGAGACTGATAAGCCCAGTTCAGGGAAAACCCTCGGCGCATGGGAGTGTACTTGTGAATGTGAATGGCCTGAATAATTTGAGAATCCATTTACAAATCACTCACATGTACCTCACCCGCCCTGCTCGCGCAATTTCTGGTTCCTGCCACCCACACAGAACCACATTGTTCATCACAGGAACAGAAAGCTGCTTTCACTGAGCTTGCCAAGCACCTTGCCAAACAGTGGGCCCTAAAACCTTGCAAGAACTATTTTTTAACTTAGGGAAGATCTTGACCTGTTCCAGTACTCTTCTACTTCCTTTTTGATTTCTCTTCTTTTCTCTGCTTGTTCTTTCACTTTCTTTACTGGCTGACATCTGGGATGGTGAGGTTGTAATAGTGACAGTTCATTATATCCAGTAATTCAAACTGTTGTTGAATACTCTTTGATGGTCGGCTGCTACTCAGGAGTCTCTGATGCTACTATTTCTGATGCATATGTTGCATATACATGTTTCACATATCTAAATAAATGCATTGCTTTGGATCCTCCAACAGGCCAGAACCAGTACTGTGGACAAAGGACGGTGGAGAACTGCCAGATCCAGAGAGAATGGTTGTCAATGGCAGGGTTCTCAGCATCAGTTTCCTAAACAAAACAGACAATGGCACATACCGATGTGAAGCAAAAAATCCTATTGGCCGAAACAGCACAGAATATGTCCTGATAGTCCATGGTGAGTGTGTTCTTGTTAGTGCATGTCATGCATATGTAACATTTCAAGCCAATACAGTCATTACAGAACATTCTGTAATGACATTATGGTCATTACAGAAAGAATAGCAAGAAAAAAGTCGGTAGTATAATTGCACTTCTTTTTATGCTGTCACCTAGTTATGGGATGGATGTTATCTTTCTTTTGTTATCATGCCTCTCTTCATACAGTTTAAACAAAATACAGTCGCTTACGCTGTGAACTTTTTGGTAAGTAAGCACCTGTAAAAGGTTTTGCAGTTGGTAGGTACTGTTTTAAAAACACTTGCCTCAGGCCCAGCTGTTCAGATGAAACTGGTCACAAAAGGATATATGGAGAGAAATATATATATATGTGTTTGAAGTTTTCTGTTTAGTTTTTTATAGACCACCAAAGATGGGAGATCAGATTCTTCACACAAGTTATAGCCTGCTACTGAGAAAATTCAGCTTATACAAGTTAGCTTGTCGTCATCTGGCTTATTCTTACAGTGAATCGTCAAAACTATGTCATGTCCTTAATTCATTATACTACTTCCAATAAAATTGAAAAATAGGAAGGTTCATATTAAATTCCAGTTGATTTTTTTTCCCATAATTAATTAGACAGCAATATGGGTCCCATGAAAGGAATAGCTGCCTTCCAAGTTGATCGTGAAATAGATTGATATAACAGGTATAGGAGAAACTATAATACAAAATTAGGATTTACCTTTAATACAGCCTTGCAATGGGGATCTAGCAGTCTCAAAACATGATGTTTTCTTATCACAAGTATGTATTCCTGGAAGATGATGATTTCCATAATTTGAATTTTAATCTAAGTGAATGTAAAGGAAGAAGCTCCACTGTAGTTCATGAAGGTACTTTTTTTGTGTATTTTTTTTTTTAAATGTGACTTCTTATAACTGACAAAATAAAATGAAAAAATCTAATGAAAATGATAGTCTGTAAATAGACATGAGAATTATGTAGATTTTATTTGCTCATGATTAATTTGGTTATAACAAATACATGTTTCTTTGACGGTTGTAAGGTCTCAAAAACATTTTTCACTCAAGGTTTAACCTGCCTTTAGGTATTTGGCATAAAACTTCTAATAAGTGCTGCTTTCAGTAAGGAGCTATTTATTGGCACTGTTGATGAAATGTCATTTGTCAAAAGAAACCCTTAGATTACTTTTCATTTTTCTTAAAGTTCACTACTGGTTTATGTAGAATTAGTGGCACAAGTAAGGAGGAGGTCTTTGCATGAGGAACACAGAGCCTGTGCTGATGCCTGAGTATTTCTGTATTAAAGGCAAGCAGAAAAACTAAACCCTCTAACCTCGACTTACATTGGTTACCACAAGAAGAGAAAAAGAAAAAAAATGTCTTTTTTTCATCCTGGACGTGGTGATGTGGTGGTTGTTGGCTGCAGGCACAAAGTGCACTGCCTTTGATGAGATAATGGCTTCTGCGCTTGCCACGTGTTGAAACTTCTGTGATTCGTCTTTTCTGCCCAATTTACTTACGTGATTATTCCTGAAAATATGGCCTTTGATAACGGTAAGATTTTTTTTCCATCAGTGATGACTCTGCAATGCACCTCTACCAAAGAATACTTCACCATTTCCTATGTGTCTTTCTCCCAGTGGCGTGCCCCCCTGTCGGTCTGATTATCTTGCAACAACTTGGTGGCAGTCTGTAAAATCATTCATTATCAGGGAGGCGTTCTGTGATGTTTGGCAGCACATTAGGCACGTTATCAGGTTTAGCTCCCTCATTGCTGACCTCTTCTGTTATGAGTACCAGAGTTTTCCTAATTGCATTTCTGCAATGCCAGTGTTGGAACTAGAGAAGGTAAATGTCAGGTGCTTCCCAGGCTTCTGAAACAATGAGAGTGATGTGACAGAGGATGAGATGATGTTTAGTGCTTAACAACTCACTGCATTTCAGAGCTGTTAGGTTTATTTTAAGTACAGAGGAGACTGACACAATTATTTTATCAAGTGTAGAACAATCAGTTGTATAGATCAATTTAAGCAGCCTTATCCCTTCTTTAGCTCATTATATTCATGAATGTCTCTAGTGAAACATAATCCTCCCCAAATCATACAATATTTTCTCTCTATTTCTCTGGGGGCTAAAAAACCTACTTTTTATCACTTTCTGAGATGCATCCTTCCATTTAATAGAAGATGTATATTTTTTTTATCTTCCTAAATATATCTGGAAGCATCCTTTGATTTCTCATCCCTTCCCCTGTGCTTAATGTGTTGATGTAATTTTTTTGTCCTACTTCTTTGCTAGAATTGATTTATCCCATAAGTATGCCTTCTTACTTTGAATGTTAGGTTTCCAATAAGAGTACATGCCAGATTTTCCATGTGAGGAAACAGAGGACATCAATGGAAGGTATCCTCTGCAGAGGCAGGGGAGTACAACCTGGTCCAGAGCTTTTCTTTTCTAATGTATACCTGATGTGGACTACATTTTTTTCCTTTTTTTCACTTCTACTCTGACAGATTCTCTGTCTTTCTGTTTGTTAATGTTATAAAAGCTTCATCTGGCTTCTATTCTTTTTTCCCCCCCTTTGAAATCCCCCTCTCAGTGGTACTCAATCTAATAATTCTGTCAGTTCCTTAAGTTATCTTCCTAACTGAGAGAAGATTTAGACAGCTTTAGTGTAGAGAGAGGATTGCCTAAAAAATGGAAGGAATAGTTTATCATAATTAGAAGTTAAAGGCAAGCAAAGTATTTATATATATTAATTATACAAACCAAGCAAAGAGTGTCTCATGCCTTTAACTGGACCAACCTAGACTCAAAATTATACAGAAAAGTAGTATTTTTTCCACAGTAAGTGATGATGAGGTAAAACTGTTTTGATGTTAAGGGACAGCACTGGAAATAAATATTGCTATAAGCGATGAATGGCAATCTGTCCAATGCAATTAGTGTCTGATAACATATAAAATCTTTTTAGATTTGCAGTATAATTAAAGAAATCGGACTTCAGAGAAATTGAACAAATTTGAATAAAGTTAACGGCATGGACTATTAAATATGCTCATGCTGCTTTGCTGAATCAATATGTCTGCTAATTTAATTTTTCTTAACATTTATTGTTAATAATGAATGTCATAAAATACTTTGTGAAGCAGGAGGGTGGGCACAAAGTCAGAGTTTATAGGCAGAAGTACAAAGGCAAGACGTAGTTTGCTCATACATTTCTCTCTTGCAGTAACAAAGGCACAAGCTTTAATGCCTGTAGCTGTTGTCATTTCTGTATTCTAATTGGTAAGCCTGGTGCTTTAGAAGTGCACATTCTGGCTAGATATATTACACCCTTTCTTTGGTAATGTGCCCCAGGCAATTTTCACTCTCTTCCAATTTATTAAGAATTTTTGTTTACCTTTGTCCAAATACTTGTCATTAATCATCAGCAAACAGGGCAAACTGTCAGACTCATGTTGCTCTGCCCAAAACCAGAGATTCTACTTGCAAAGCTTAGGTAATGAGTGCACTGACTTAGCTGGAGTAGAGGAAGGAGGTGGTCCATCATAATCAAACTGAAGATAACAGCTGTGATTTATGTAGGAGTAGTTCATAACCTCTGGAGGTCACTGCTGAAGACTTAGTTCATCATCACACTGGAGTGAGTGACACAAGTCCACACCATTGAGAAACCTTCTTAATGGCAGCATTTGACAATTTGCAGACCTCTTTGAAATGGAGAACCTTGGTGAAATATCCTGATACGCCAATCTATAGACAAGCATTAAATTAATTGAAATATTCAGAGCTGTAATGTGTCATGTAGCAATTCTCTAGAAGAGCAATATGGAAATTAATATGAATCAGCAGCTGTGGATGGTCAAGGCAGTTCTTACTGCCCTAATTATAGATACATTACATACATAATATTGTCCATATTATACATACAAAGTATGTACTTAGTATCTCTGAAGAATAAAAAGGGTCATAACATATTCCTTTGTCTTCAGCCTCTCTATTTTGTACTTTTTTCTTAGGCACGCTATTTTTTGCAAATAAAGGCAGCTGAAAGACCAAGTTACATCCTCATTAGTATTTTGAAAAGTGCTTTCAAACAGAAGATCTCCTACAGTGTGTAAGACCAAAGGCCCCACTGCACCTTTCCCAACTATAACATTATTTATATTCCACCTGCTTGTCCAGTCCCATTTCAAAACATTTGTCATCTTAGCTTTCACAGTAACCTGTGGCAACAAGTTTCTGAATTGAGTTACGTGCTTTGAGGGGAAAAGTATTCTCTTTTGTTTGTTTAAGCCTGCTGCTCGATCTCTTCACTTCCCAACTCTACAAGCTGTTTGGCCTCTCTTGCTGTTTGGCCTGGAAGTAGGCAATTCCAATCACTTTGTACCTGTGCTGCTTCCCTTCAGTAGATTCTCAGGTTTTTCCACCCTGGTCTCATTTTCTCATTAGTTATGATCCTGGATTCCTGTCCCTTGTGTCCACTCTCTTTCTTCAGTGGTCTTTTTTTCACCTTTTTTCTCCATTTTTGTTCCAGTTGTAAATCTCTGTGATTGATTGTTCTCCACATCTGGTAAATGGCCTATACCAAATCTGCACCACACACCTTGGTTTATTAAATCCTACCTCCAAATACATATACAGAGGCTCATCTTCTGTGGCCACTCATAATTCTAGCGTGGTGCACTTTTAAATTTATACAAGTTTCTTTTCAAATCTCTCCAAGAAAGTAGAAACTGAGTCAAACAGTAAATTGAAAGAAAACCGAGGAGATGAGGATATTTTCTGCTTTCTTGGAAAACTAAGCTTACTGAATAGGCAATAGATCTTTTGATTTGCAAATGTTTTCACTACAGAACTCTGATAAATCTTATATAGTGTTTTTGGACACCTCACCATCATAACCATACATCAAAAGAACACATAAAAAAATATTCACTGGAGAGGCAGAGGGGTGGTGGGAAGGGAAGGAAAGGAAACAGCATCC